GGGTACTCGAGGATATAGATAATGAGTTAAGATGGGTAACTTTACGCAAGAAAAACGAGTGTATTTTTGAGAGAATTGAAAAAAATCAATTTGTATTTTTTGTGTGTCTTATAAAATTGTATAATATTGTATTAATACACGTATTAAAACGAATTATAAAAGTATTGACTTGAAAAAAAAAACACTATGTACTTATTTAAACCTTTTCAGACCTATGTCCTTCTTATGTCCCGTAAGTAGGACATTATTTTAAGTGTTATTTACTATCATTTAAAATTGTGCATCCATAGATTATGTAGTATACAAAAATTAACGACGTAACTCTTATCACATTCACTAGAACATTTTCGATAGCTTAGAGAACCGAAATTTGTCGTTGAGCTACCTTATCGAGTTACAGAATACCGCAGGGGGTTCCTACTATGTTGTACTTAGTGGTAAAAAAAATTAAAAAAATAGAATGTAATGTTATTAATTTTTCAGATTCGAAGCGTAAGTAATAGAATAAAAGCCGTTATTATGGGATAAAATGTATACAGTCTACAGTTCTATAAATAGAATATAATAGACTATTCATACTTATAAATTTTAATCATCGAATACTAAAATTAATAAACACAAACTATTCACTTAACACTTCATATAAATAAACGCTTCTTATTAAAAGAAAAAAAAAATATATATATAATACATTTATCTATTACTTATAATATACCAGGTCAATATAATATTGAAACTAATTGTTTCTTAAATGTATATGTGTTAGTGTTAATGCACTTTCAGTTAATGTATTCAATGAATATAAAAATGCATACTATAAACAGTTATTCTATATACCTACGAAGTAGATATTTTATAATCTAACAATAACGATTTAATTAATTACTGTTTTATTTCATTTATTAAAAAAAAAAAATCATAATTTTATTTTAGCAAAAAAGTGCTGTTATTACTTACGTCTTGTTGTTGTTTTTTCATAATTGTTTCGAATTTAGTTTAAATCACCCTTATTATACAATATTATACATAAGAAACGAATACACGATACAAAAATGAAAATAACCGAAAGTTTACTGCCTATATTGGTTACAGTCGTACACTGCACTATCGTTCACAAAAATACGTCGTCCGTATGGTCGATGAATCTTATAGGTTTAACCCACTGTAGTTTTATTATTGTTAATGTTCCTTCTTCTTACGCTATAAAATAACAACGGCAAAAAATGTCAAATATTGTATATGTATATCAACTATATAGTCTCGGCTTTACATAAAATATACCATGGATTAAAATTATATAAATTAGCGAAAACCATGCAATTTGTATTAATCATATTGTATATACATATTTACATAATACACTAATGTACTGTTTATTTATTATCGATATTTTCACACATATCTAATCATTTCATCAACTATAATCAATGATAATAGCATAATAAATATTGTATTTTTAGTTAAACGTATGAAATTCCAAATTAATAAAACAATATTGCTCCTTCCCAAACGAACCTGTATTGTTTATATAATAAAATCGAATTTTCATTTGGTATACTCGATATTTTTCGTAGGTAGTCAAAAATAAAATTCGTCTGCTTATAAGAAAACCAGAACCGGTATCGGGGGGGGGGCTTAAGCCCCCCTAGAATGTAAACGTCAAAATAAAAAAATTACATTTTTCAATATTTGATATTTATAATTTTTATTTTATTCTGTTGAGATACGAGAATGGTCTGGAATATTCATGGCTTCTTGAAAAATAAATTTCTAAATCTATTAATACTGAAACAATTGTTAATATATTTACACAAAAAAATAGTTATATACAATTAAAATGAAAATAATTTAGTAGCTATTCAATATTTTATTTTTTAATGGTACTATTACCTATAAATATATATATATTTGATGTCTCAGCTAGAATCGAGTAGGAGTAGCCACTACAGTTGGTAGTTGGAAGCGTCGGAAGCGACTAAAACTGTTTGATTCCGCTAATGAATAAGACAAAAATGTTAAGCCCCCCACAGATGAAACCAAATATCCACTAATATAAGAAAATACAATTTTTATTTTCTTCAAAAATATACGAAGCTATCGGAGTTCAAATTTCAAAATAAGCTTATCAGTGAGTTTACTCGACCTGAGGCCGCGTTAAAAAATATGAATGAAACCTGCAAGGAAATGTACGAACAACTAATAATAACCGAACAATTTATTTAATATTTATCAATAATTACAAATGAGCAACTTTAGATATTTGTAAAATTAGTTATCGTTTTTTCATTAAGTAGTTCACAGGTTGGTCGTTTTTGAACAAACCACCTTATGTCGAAAAATCGTTGGTAAATTATCGAAACAATATGATTTATAGCTCAAAACAGTCTATGATTTAAATCTAAGGACACAACATAAATTTACTTTATCTAGGGAATGTCGAATTGGGGAACCATTTAGTCAATTAACATTCAATAAAAAAAGCATGTTTAATTTTGTGCTGCCCACCAAGATTTTCTCTAATATATAATAATAATAAAAATACGCTACCTATTAGAAAATATATATATATAAATCACAACTCTGGTTTATGCAAATTTGGTATAATCATAGTAGGTACTCGATTGAATTTATTTATGTCTGAAATGGATAAGTTACGTACGTTCGCTAGCAATTTTTGATAAGAGGCCCAGTGCTTCCCAAATTTGTATACAATGTTGATTATTCAACTCCTGTAATTGTACTGCTACTAGTTTAATAAGTGTTCACCCAACACCAAAAAAATTATTTTTTAAAATTCTATTGCTATCGTTCAATTTTGTACCTATGTTGTTTACTTAGCTTCTAAAATTGTTCAATTTTTCTGTTTATTTCATATCTAATGCTGATGTTTAAAAAAATATTTCTATACCTACCTACCAAAGAATATTTTTATTTAAATATTGCCAATGCTCCTATTAATTATTATTTTATATTTTGAAATTAAATATTTTATATTAATTAATCAACAAAATTAATTTATATTATTTTTGAACAAATAGGGCACTATTTGTCAAATAGATATCATGATTACCTTGTATTATTTCTGAAACCTATTACAACTTATAGATTTGTATCAATAGGTACATAATATTTTGTATAATTACCCCTATACATTATTTAATTATTATCTTTTTTTTTTCACTATGAAATAATAACTGTTATTAAATTGTTTAAAGGTTACCCATTTATTAGATTATTTAGTAATTCAGCAAAATAATTATGAACAGCCCTGATCATTTTTAATAATTATTTATTAATAACTTGAATTAATTAGTTTTAAAAAAGATAGCCTTCCTTCCAAAACTTCAGTAATAAAGATATTTGAGAATATTCGTTAAAATTTTGAAATTATTAAAATCATTAAACATTGAATTTCCCTAATTTGGTTATACTATTTTTAAAATTTGTCAATACGTACTCAGCCATAACAATAAAAAGCATGGTTAAAAGAAATGTCTCAAAAAAGAAGTTCAAAATAATTAATACAAACGCCTCGAAAAAAAAATGTTGACCAAAATTCATATTAATAAATATACCCAGAGATTACATTCCATTACATGGAATGCATAAGGATAGGTATGCAATAAAAAATATTTTTTACCAAACAAACGATTTTAATCAATGTTCAATAATGTTTCGATTTATTTAAAACATTGAAATATTGAATTAGAAACAAGAAATAATTACTAATCATATCAAACAATTGAGTGCTGACATTATAGAATTTAAATAATGATTGATAATGTATCTTGCTCCAAATTCTGATTTTTAACTCAAAACAGACATTTTTTAATAAGCATAATGATAATAAAATCAATTTTTATCACTCAAAAACATGTTCTTTTTTCTCAAATTCAGTTTCCTGTCGGAATATTTAATATATTCAAATTTCAGAAATTCCAGTAAAAATCACCAATATAGGTAAGTACTATCGTATTTACAAAATAATATAAATAGATATATTGGCTATTGTAATTTATATTAATAATCCTGTTTCACACTTTGCGTGTGTAATGAAACTTACTTATTCAAATTTTTGATAACTAATATTACAAACTTTCATCGATAATTATAATGTATATTGAATTACAAATGTATATTTTATGCATTTAATTATTTTTAATTTCAAGGATTACCTGCTACCTACCTATAATCTGACAGTAATGAAAATTTTGCAGTTTTTCCAAGTAGCTTATTTTTTAACATGCCTTGCTCTAGTGCGGTGAACTGTAGTAATAGATCAGAAAAAGACTGGAAATTATTTAGATGAGTACAAAATATGCGACATGTAGATAAATGGGCACCAATAAAATAATCACGCTTGTGTGAGGTAAATTTTATCTTTGTTAAATTCAGGTATATGAATAATGTACTTACTGTGCTATATTTCTTTAGAAACAGGTCTCAGTTTGAACCATTGAGAAGGCAGTTGGAAAAAATTAAAGTCAAATAGTATACCTACCTACATTATTTTATGTACCAAATCTATCACCCATGATTGATCCGTCTTCACGAAAATCAGTGAATATGGTAAGATTATTCTATAAGGAGTAAACAACTACCTTTAAAGCTCTTAAAAAATGTAATAACATAAATTTAACAATTTAGTATTTTTATAAAACATTTTACCAATTTGAACAAAAAAATTACTAATTGTGTAGGTGTATGAGTTTATAAGAAATAATATGAAATAATCAAATATAAGGAATTATTATAATAATGCATTAATTATTTTAAAGTAATCTTTACTTTGTTTAAATAAATTTATTTCATTTTTGTTTAGTGTAATATGTTTATATTTTTTAAACAATTTTAAATATATTTACATATGTCAAACTTGATAATTGTGTTTCAGTTATGCAATAAGTTTTATTTCATACCTACTGTTCAATTCAGTATAAATCATAGGAATTCTTATTTGACTACTTTAAAGCTCAAATATAAAATTTATTTTTTCAGAATTCTAACATAGCTCTGTAAAACCTTGACAATTTAGAAACCATTCATGAGCCTACATTTGTTCAAGATGATGTTCTGGATGTACTTTAAATTCTTGAAAGTGAAGTAATTAAATAATCTTTAAATTCAATAATTTAAGAATCATAATTTAATAAAATTGACATTTAATATAACCGTTTTATTTATTGATAATTAATTAATTAAAAAGTTCTGAATAAAATAAATAGCAACTCAAATCATTGTGTAATAAATTTAGTGTGTTTGAGTTGAGTTTGGGTGTTTTTTACATTAACTATATCTTGCAACAACTTTTATATAATAATTAAACACTTGATATAATAATTTGTTGTTAGTATTTTAGAAATAAAAAAAAGTATTAAACACATTATACACAATTTTTTAACTTAGTAAACAAAATATTATCACAACTCCAATGGTGAATGTGTTATGAAACACATGATATGGTGTGACATTATATTGTATACAAATTATAATTTATTAATATTCATTAATTTGATTTTGATAAAACTTATCACATTAAAAATATATAAATAAAGTACATTTTAAAATTAATTTTTCTTAATACTTATTTTAAATTTATAAATAATATAATTATTAAACATTGTACATTGCAAAACATATTCGACATTAATGTAAAACTATTAGAATACAAAATTTAATTAAATACATTTTTAGTTGCTGTGATAAAAATGCAAATTTTGATCTAAAAAGAAAATTGAATGATTATTATTGTATGATATACAGGGAATCAGATAAACAATTAATTATTATAATGCAAAGTGAGTACAATATTAATCAATTAATTTACAATGGTTTTGCTTATTAATTGCACAGTATTTTGAGATGAATGAAACATGAAAGATAATTTAGAATTTTTCTTTAATAATTTCTGTGATGACTGTTGATTGAAACTATTTGATGCCAACACTAACCAGAATATTTTTACATTATCAACACCACACTGAAACCAAAATATAGAAATTTAAAAAAAACACAATTTGTGTACAAAATAATATACGATACCTACCCACAACTAGTAATTATAGCTAGAATATATGATCAAATCTTTAAAAGCATGATGGTTTTAATCAATGGTAAATTGAGTTGTAGTTTGGAATACATATTTTGTTAGCATTAAATATATAAATAAATATGAATCATTTAGTATAATTTAAAATAGAAATTTAAAACTATTAATCAAATACATATTTAAAATGCTATGTGGGATGTGTGTATAATATATTGGGGTAGGTGAAAATATTCTTTGAACCTGACATGAAACTCTAAGTATACTCATATTGTGAATCAATGTAATATGTTCATACTTAAAACAAAAATAGTGTAAATAATCTTAATGTTTATATTTTGGGGAATGACAAGAAATAATATTTGTTTTTCATAATAATTATTAATTTAATTTACATCATTACATTTGATCTTTTATGTTACTTATGATGTATTTATTATAATTTTTTTTTTTTAAATTTTGCTGACATTTATTTATTAAAATGTAAATATGTACACAAACAAATAAGTTACATATAGAAAATTTGAAAAAAATAATTGAGACCGGTATAATGTCCATTACTATAAGTATATCTATATTGTTATTAACTCTTGACTTTTCAAATGAATAAAGTAAAATATAGTTATGATCCATTTTATTTATTTAATGATTGCTCGCCCAACTTTATGATGTTCTTGTGAATATGTTGCAAAGGGTAATTGTAACTTAACAGTCATTTAAAAAATTCAATTTTACAGTAAAATAATTACAAATATGGTAACAATTAATGCTGTATATTTTTACATTAAAATACAAAATTTTTTGTATATTTGTTAAACATTTGAATAGCATTATCTTTTTAACTTTTAGCTGGCGATTGTTGCTGACAGCAATATGGTTGTGGATATTCCCGTGGTAGATGGATTGCAGATACTGAAAGTCAACGCAGGTGAACTTGATGTCGACATTGAGATTGTCAAAATGGGATTTGATGACTTGGTTGTTGATCCTCAAAGAGACATGCCGCAGGTTATTGTCGAAGAGGTGGTAGACGTCCATGGAAATGTACCCGTTGGATTTGTGGACATGCCACCTTTAATAAATTATATGAGTTATATTAAGCTTAATAACTACCTATTTTTTAATGGTTTCAAATTTGTTGTTAAAAATTATTATTTCAAATTTCAATTTGAATAAAATAAATAGTGCTTTATTCGGTTGTTGGACTAACTAATGTTGTGAAAAAAGTATTTTGTTTTTAAGTAGATATGTACATTATATGTAGAAAATGTAAAAATATATAATATAAGTTTTTTGAATCATAATTACAATAATTACTTAATGGTTTATTGAAAATAATGTTATAATACAATGGTATTTTTTGAAGTTGTGCGAAAATTTAAAATTTACATTTTTGTTATCATAATAGTACCTAATGTACATTATATTTAGGTACGCATACTATATATAACATATTTTCACCAGAACCTAGACTTTTTCCGTTTTACCTTTACAATCGGATTGAATACCTACCATTCCAAATATTTAGATTTGCCACAGGTTTCTGTCAGTTAATTAAATTAAAAATTTATTACATTATATTACTGTTCGATAGTTTGTATGTTGTTTACGTTGTTCAAGGAGTCACTACCCGTTTATAGAGATTTTCCATGGCTTTTCAAACTCTACGGCAGAAAGTATTATACTAAATAAAAAGTAATAATGATTATATAAAATAATATATGAAACGGTTTATAGGTAAACATAAGTTCTCACTTATCCTTACCGAGATTACCTGTTAACCGTTAAGGTACGGTGTCCAAGGCGCGGCTAGCCACGACCAGCCGCCGAAATCTGACTGGTTTCCTAGACATACAAATCGCCGCGGCTCTAAACATAATTTCATCATTTGTTTAGTCGCACTTCGCATTATGTTGTATTAAGACGTATATTTAAAGTAATAATCCATGTCCAATTTAATATGCGTTTTTAATAATAACAAAATGATCATTTTAGATTTATATATTTGTGCTTTAAATCAGCACTGTCGTATAAAACAGGATTTTTCCGTACTTCCTCATGTTCTGGCAAAAACACTAAAACACTAAAGTATTATTATATGTTCAATATTATAATTATTATTCAATACTACAATAACTATTATAATTCAATACTAGAATATTAGTTAAATTATGGTAGTACATACTATATGTCTATATACTACTATCAGCGACTGCAAAATTTTAATACAAACACAAATTTCAACTAAAGTCGCCGGCGGCTGTCGCGATACACTGCTCTCGTCGCGGTAGAGCCGCCTAACCTAACCTAACTTAACCGGCCGCGGCGGCGGCTCTAGTTCAGTTGCGAGCCGCAGCCGCGCTTCGGAAACCAGTCTACAGGCACTACGTGTAAACACTGTACACGCAAAAGCCGCGGCGATTCGCCGCCGCGCCTTGGAAACCGTACCTTTAATCATGTGTTTTATTACTTTTTATTATATAAAACAAATATAAGTTTAAATAATTCTTATTATTTTTTATATATGTATATAATTCCAGTATAAGAGTATATATTATTTAATAATTATAATATTATATTATACTTACAGAAAAGTCTCCTTAATACCTTTATGAAAGTAATTGATTTTAAAACAATAGTTAAACAAATAATAGGTTTATTTAACTTCTTATTAAATTCATATTTTTAATCTTGAATTTTGTAAATTCATTTGAAATTGATTGTGTTCTACAAAGCTCAAAGGCTACCAGTGAGTAATAATATAATGGATAATAATATTTATTTTTTTACTACCTATAATTATTACTTATGAGGAGTACCTAACTCAACGATATAATTTACTGATGATCTCGTAAAAATTCTGTCTTTATTTTTTAGATTCTTATTAACTTGAAATATCAAACATGTTTAATTGTACAGTAACAATGATTATTTAAAATAATACATAAAATGGTTTATAAAGAAAAGATACAATAATATTCTCACTTAGTATTGTTGTTTTAAATAATCATTATTATTTTTCAATATAAGTATCTATAAGTTAATTTCCTTAATATTCTTTTATATGAAAATAATTGACTTCAAAATAACATTTAACCAAATAATAGGTATTTATATAATTATGTTTTAATTATTTATAAATATTTATTGTTTTATGATGGTTGTATTGTTTTATTACTAGGTATATATTTTATATTTCTTTCAACTATTTTTAATTATTAAAAATATTGAATAAATAGGTCCTTTTATCACCTTTTTTTGTTTTTCTGGATATTGTGTTACAGAGAGAACTGTTTCAGTTTTTGAATGTAAAGCTTTGTATCATAAGCGATTCCTAAATAAAAATTTCTCTCCGTACACTTTGCACAATATGCATAACAAAATTGGTTTAAGTGTAAACTAATAGGAATTAGGTTCTATTATTTTTATCCTATTATTTAAACGTACAATAAAATATACAATTTTCCCACTCATTATTAGCCTTTTTAATATTAATATTATTATTATATGCAATAATGACTGGTTTTAAAAAAAAAAATAATAATAATAATTTAACATTGTTAATTTATTTCTTTGATATTGAATATATTTTCTAAAGAAAAAACCTACAATAATTATATATGTTTTTCTAGTTTTTCTAATAAAATACATTCTTCTAATTTATTCTAACTCAGTAATACTCAACTAATAAAAACTAATTTATAAAAAAACATATTATAATTGTATTCAGTTATCAATGTTTTATTAGACAGTACTTTCATATAGGTACCTACTGAATAATATGTTTATATAACTTCTTATTAAATTTGTTTTTCTCACTTCTTCATAGTATATGTATGTGTGTTCTGTATAAACATATAATTGAGTAAGGTCTCACTATATATATAATATGTATAAGAAATATAGTACAATACATTTGTTAACAATTATTATTGGTTATTATTTATTATTATTATTATAATATTACTTTATTATCAAACCACTGTTATTTTAGTTGCCTTTAAGTAAGTATATACAAAGTTAACAGGTACTTACATATTATAATATAATAATATAAAAATGTGTAGTTTCAAAACTGTATGTAAGTTGATATTTACTTGATATCTAGACATTCACCAAATCCTTTTATAAATATATTTTTAACATTAATTAATTGTGTTGCACAATAATATCTCTAATTGTTCAATTTATTTATGCGTTTAATGTTCCTATAGGTATCATATTATTATAAAAAGTAATAATGCACGAAACGGTTTATATAAGTGACAGCATTGAAATATGTGACAATATTCTCAATTATGCTTATCTACAAAAAACAGTACCTATATAGAAATAAACGACTTCTAAACAACAGTTAAACCAATAATAGGTGTAATAATAAAATAACTTCTTCTTTCATGTATGTGTGTGTATATAAATAAATAAGTTACTCCTCATTATATGTATATACAAAATACAGTACAATATATTATAAATACTTTTTACTCAATATTTAGTAAGTATATATTATAATATAAAAATTTTAGGTTTCACAACTGTATACCTACGGTGGAAGGTAGATGATTTCTATTAAGTGATTAATTAATACATTATTCTCTGCCTACAGCTATTAAGTATAATTTTATTAAACACAAAATACTGACATCTAGACATCTTTAAGTTCTCAGTTTACTTTCCCCCAATAATGGACGGTATCAATAGAAATACTTATGATGTTTTCTATTTCGAATAGAAACACATTTTGGTATTTTTAAAACATTGCCTACTATTTTGGTTGAGTAATTCATGATCATAATCATAATATATTATACTAATTATTTACATGATTTTACGTATAAATATTTCTTTATAGTTAGTGAATAAATAATAATACATTATATGTGTACCTATAGATTTATTCAAAGGCACCCTTAACATTCATTCGTACGCCTTATCATTTTTACCCCACCTGGTCTGATCCGAAATTACATTGTCTGTACTGTTTATGTTTTTTTTTTTTTACTTATATTGTTTAACGTACGAAGTATTGAACGGTCGTTCTTTTGTTCTCCATTTTGTGTTTACTATTCGCCTTGTCGTTTCGTCCTTTTTTAATCCATGTGCCACTATCTACGCGTCCTTTGAGTAAAATATATTTGTCTGGTATTTCGGTTATGTATTTATTATCTACGTGTTAAATCATGCAGCTTGTTTAGCTTGTATATTTTGATTAGAAATCATTGCTTTTGTGGTAAGCATTTGACATTGTTATAATACTATTAATATTATAGTCTCATAGACTTGTGGTTAGTACAACGGTCATTGTACGTTAATCGATTATTATAATAGGTACTCTTATAATCTTACAGCCTTTTTACGTCATATACCTAAGTAATTATGTTATAATTTTTATTTATTTATTAATTGTATAAATTGTTATTCTTATAAAGCTCTTATTTTATTTACGATACGGAAAAATACAAAGAGTTTAGTTCCGCTCATTCTGAGTAATAGGTGTATGAGAATAATTTAAGTGTATTACAAAAATTGATTAACACAAATACTATTATATTTTAAGATTATATGTGAAAATAAAATGCCTACATGAATGTTTCTTATCAGATGTCTGATGAAGTAATGTCTTAATAGTAATAATGATTAATAGCGGAGTTGGGCATTAGTTGAATTAAAAATTATTTAATTAATTTTTTGAATAAAAAATTATTCTTTATTTAATTATTTTAGTTTATTTTTAAACATCTCATTTTAATTTTTATAATGATTTATTATTCATTATTCTACGGGTTATTCTAGTTTTTTTTTATATTAATTTTTGATTATTGATTGAACAATTGTTCGTTACTCATTACTTGAACTCTGACTTTATTGAAAATTGTCATAAATTAAAATCATACTGCTTTAGTTATTTTATTTAGTGTAATAGTATTATTGTTATTATTATTATTTGTTTTGTTATAAATATTTTATTGTTATCATAATTTTGCCACACAAAAAATTCACAAGTTAAACTAATCAAAATAATTTTTATTTTTTATTATATTTTTATATTTTTTACAGTTAAAACTATATAAAATAAAATACTATTCTTTATTCACAAAATAATTAGTTATCCATACTTTTATTTTTAATTTCTGAGTGTAGCACAGAATGTTTTATACTTTAGGGAGGTAATTTTTTGATTTTCTAAACAGTTTTCATAATATCTAGATAATCTGAGATAAAACTTAACAAAAAAAGAAAATTTACGAAAATAATGCTTTTTTTTTATTTTCAATTTTGTTATTTGTTGTAATTCAGTTAAAAATATTCACAGAGAATTGAA